TGTTCCTCTCTCAAGGAAAAAGATAAGTGTAGTTGGCTTAGCGTTTCTTCCAAAGCTAAATTGAATGGATGCGGTCCTTCAGCAGCTGCCATCTTGGCTGTTTACTTTTAGACTCTTACAGTGCAGCAATGTCGTCATCATGTTACTCGCCCAGAGCCCGCCTTTGTCAGATAGAGTGATCTGATTGGTCCGATGGCGATTCAACGGGCTCTGCTCGTCGGGGCCAGATCCCCGTGCAGAGCAAATTCGAATTTGCTGGGGGCGGGGCATCTGGATTTCCAGGTTAGTATTGTGTAGTAAAGCAAAGGTAATTCAGGAAAAAACAATTCAAATGAATATTTTTGGCGTATTGTTATAATATTGACCAGCATCACCACAGTAAATGTGTCTGTTGGTAATGCATCTGATTGAAGTGGCTCTCATATTTCAGCTGGCGCAACAGTCAGAGCCGACATGAAGTAAACAATGAGAGCATAAAAATGTTACAACATTAAATTAGATTATATTGTTATTATTTTATTTTGATATAATTGTTTTCCAACGCCTGCGATCTGACCCACATGTTTAAAGATTATCTTGATTAACCAGGTCATGATTTCTAGAAAGAGACATTGCTGTTGAATTTTTCCAATGTACTTTTTTTGGCACTTCGAGCACCACAAGCCGAGTGCCATCTAGTTCCATTAGAGTTAAGAGAAGGCAGACATCTCTACGGCTGATATCTCCAACCCTCAGCAACCCACACCAAAACAATCTAGACTGATTAACAGCACTACAGGTAAGAGAAAAAATATGTAGTTTTGATTTTGGGGTGAACTTTCCCTTTAAAGTATAATTAAAGTAGTTAGATGAAACTGGCAGTGATTGATAGACTAACTGAAAATGCATAATCATATCAGACTTGGTGCTCCACAAATTCTATGACCAAACCTCTCAGGATCAATTCAGTCTGAAGCTGTTGCTGCAACAGTATGAAAAGTATCATTCATTTCTATTGACTGAACATGTGCACCATAATAAAGAAGGTTTACCAAATATAAAGTCACCAAATAAACTCATGCATCCTTCCTGTGGTCTGTCAGAGAGGCCCTCTGTTCCTTACTGCTCCGTCCACGGTGACGTGGAATTGGGTCACCTGGTTACTCTGACCTGCCACAGTGAGCATGGGAGCCCGAAGCCGACGTACACCTGGACCAGACTGGATCAGGCTAAGACCAGGAGGCCTGTACTGGGAAGAGGTTAGTACTGCGTATGTGTTTGTGTTGTACTTGTTTACATGTGTGCCTTCATCCTCTTAAAACACACATGTACACTTGTCTCCTCAGTAACCCCAACTGGAGTACTGAAAATTGGAAACATATCCCAGTTTCAGTTTGGGGAGTACCAGTGCAATGCTACAAATGCAGTGGGATCTGCATCTTGCATTGTGGAACTGAGTGCTGGTACGTTTACATTTTATTTTTTTGTTGAAATTATGTACCAAAAAAACAATAAAAATACTTCAAAAGGTTTCATTCACTTTTGTTTGTACAGAAGTGAGCGATGGAGTGATCGCTGGTGCAGTGATCGGCGCGTTGCTCGGGTGTGTACTGATCCTCCTGGTTGTGTGGTTCATCGCTCACACTGTGAAGAAACACAAATACAAAGAGGTCAAAGTATCAGAGGCCAACGAGATGAAGTTAGACTTTTACTTTTATTTTTTTAATGCTGTTGCATTTCATCAAGTTATTCCCAGTTCAAGTGTGACACATCAACTCTCCCTCTGTCCACTAGGAGGAGCTCTCCTCAGGCCCAGGAAGCCTCAGAGAGTTTTCCCGTGGCAACCACAGCTGGCAGCCTCCATGCTGAGGCAGAAGAGCAACAAGCCTAAAAAAAAAAAAAAAGGGGCGGCTGAAAACAACTGGAGCAACGTCACTCCTCTGAACAATAGGATGTTCAGTCTTCACTATATGTCACTCTCAGATTTAATCAATATGGCAGAGCTCATGTTCAGGTTCTGCATTTTGTTACTTGTTTTCTAAATCAGAGTTTTTATGCTTACCATCAATCCAGCCTTTAACAGCTTTTTTTCATGTGTCAGTTTTTTAACATAAAATTAGCTTGAATGTTTGCAGTGCTTTTGTTTTTTGAAACCATGTTGATGAGCCCAGGATTGGATATACAAGCTACATAATATTAAAACAAATACTTGAATTTATTGTTTGAAATAGGACAAAAAAAAAAAAACAGGTTGTTGCGGGTAGAATCTGCATCATGCATCAGTACAATCACCTTTATTAAGATAATATTGTGTAAAATAAAATATCTTAAAGGAGCTCTATACAACATTCAGAGCATTTCTATGATACAGGTCAGGATTGTTTGCTCATGGTTCTCAACATGGAGGTGGCTGATCCGGTGGCTGGTAGCTAACAGTGGTAACAATGGCAACAGTGGTGACAGTGCTAACTCTGCAGTTACACCTCCAAAACACTAGTCAGCAGTGGAGGTTTCTGTGAAGTGCTGTAAAGTTTAGTTGACTCACCCAAAACATACATAAAACACACATTAAACATGGCTTAATAGAGACAATTTCAAACACAAGTACACAAATCAGCTTCACTATAACTCACAGGATTCACAGACAAAGCATTTCTTTTGCTGGACACGTTTTCCCCACAAATACAACATGCTAACGTTATTAGCACAAGCCTATGGCATTTTACATTGTATGAATTAGCCTAGCGGCTACTTTTCCTTAACTCCTATGAAGCCAGGGACACAGCAACATTTAACAAAGGTAACGTTACAAAATTCGGCTCCATTACAACTCAAAGGTTCACTGACAAAACAACTGTCTTGTACTAAACACGTTTTCCAAACAAATACTACATGCTAACGTTATAAGCACAGGCCTATGGCATTTCACGTTGTATAAATTAGCCTAGCGATGAGTGGAGATTTCCTCTGCCAGGAAATCACACACAAGACTTAAAATGCTATTTTTGTGGAGGCTTTATTGTCTTCACAATTTATTGTTTCTTATCTGCGAAATTAACGTAAATGGAAAATGGTTTCAGCTTACAAAAATAAACAGGAGGTCTGCGCCACCATGCAGTGTTGCCAACTTAGCGACTTTGTCGCTATATTTAGCGACTTTTCAGACCCCTCTAGCGACTCTTTTTCAAAAAAGCGACTAGTGATAAATCTAGCGACTTTTTCTGATGTTACTGAAGACTTCTGGAGACTCTGTTGTGAGAGCACGTATCATTCTTATTCTTCTCAATGAGCAGCGGGTGCTGCCGTGGGCTCCTCTCTCGCCCCAAAGCACTCACAGACGGCCCAGTCCTCCCTCCCAGCAGCAGTCAGAGCAGGAGATGTTAACCCCTCCACGCCCAGACTGCAAGTGAATTGCGCATGCACGGAACCGCCGCTGGCTGATCCCGACCTGGTTTACAGTCAGTGCAGGATGTAAATGTAAAATTTTCTTTGTCTAATATAAATCACTGAAAGAAGGTTCATTTGTAGTTCTAAACATATTCAGGGTGTTTTTTTACTCAGTTTTTGTCTTTCCCACGACGTTATTCCTCTCTCCTACAGCAGCCATTACAATTACATGCATATGGACAATTATTCAAATTAGGTGATGACATTTAGCGACTTCTAGCGACTTTTAGGACAGCCAATAGCTACTTTTCTTACTGAAGAGTTGGCAACACTGCCGCCATGACATGAAGTTACAAATGTTAGTTAAAGGCGCTGTATGTAAGAATGTGGCCAAAAGGGTTACTGCACTCAAATTCAAAATACTGCCGCGAGTCGTGTCCGCCCCCCTCCCCTACAGATTCGAAGTTGCTGGACAGCGGCACGCTGGAGACTGATTTGTTTGCCGTGGCAGAGCCGCGTCGCCACGTCCTTGATCTTCGGTTTTCCAGCGAACTGTTCGAGCAAGTCCAGCTTCTCTGCTGCTAACGCTGCTCCCGGGATACAGCTGAGGAGGAGCCGGCTGCTAATGCTATGTACCGGGACTGCTAACGCTGCCGGGATACAGCGGAGGAGGAGCCAGCTGCTAATTCTATGTACCGGGACACTGCTAATGCTGCTTGCCGTGCTGCTGTAGCTCAGTTGTAACTGTAACTGATGCTGAGACTCTACTGACTGCGTGACTGG